GGTGCTGTTGTGCACGTCCGCAACGCCTTCAAAGTATGCGATGAGCTGCTTGACGAGCGCCTTCCACGCGCCGAAGCGCTCGATGAGGGTGTCGGACGGGCGCAGGTCGTCGCGGGTGTTCTTCTTGCTGAGGGACTTGGTGCGCGATATTGGGGCGCCTTCGCTCATGGTGGCAGGTTGTGGGTACAGGAGGCAGGCTGCATGTTATATGTGGGATGGAGCGTGTTGACGTCAAAGCTAAGGAACTTCGTCATAAGGAGCCAAACACCGTCAAACTCGCGCACAGCCGCCTCAGAGTTCCCACGGCTCATTTTTGGTGATCACATCGTTATGTATCCTCAAAGACTCTCCAATGAATTCGCCCGGCTCTCAAGGGCAAAAACGACTTGAATGCACGTTTTCAATTATGATTGTACAGTCTGCAGATGAGATACAAAAAATCCGCGTGCTAAAAAATGCCTTTCTTAAAATGAAGCTACGGCTGCGATTGGTACCGGTAGCTTAGAAATTCAGCAAGCGATGGACAATTTGTCAATCAGGCCACCCGGACCTCAATCTTCTGCCGGCGCCTCTGATCTGTAAATATCACTAAAGCGAAGCAAGCGAACGCAGGGCGAGGAACAAAAGTGGGCATCGACTCAGGCTGACTTCGAGACACACCAAGACGAGGAAGGAGCCTGCCCGACAGCCCGGGCGAGAGTTTTTCGCGATTTGGTCACAAACACCTCTTTAGTGAATCTTGGAACGAGGCGCTGAATTTTTGTTGTCCTAGGCGACAGTAGGCGCAGGTTAAGAATTTTGTCGATCGTGAGAGGAAGAAGCACATGGCAGTGTTGATCCGGTGCATTCCGATTTGAAACTCCGACTCTCTTTCTTTCGCACCACTACCTACAGCTTTGCTTCCGCTCGGCCTCAGCTCTGGATCTTGGTTGTAGAGCTTTTCCTCTTGCAGCGGAAAAATGACGGCATCGTGCTCTGGAATCTTGGCCTATCCATTTCCCCCCACTCACTTTTTACGTCGGGCGCGCTTCTCTTTCCCGCAGCAACGATGCCTTCGTTGATTGCTGCTTTTTGAGCGACATCCGGTTGAAAACTGTGTCGTGAGGTGTAGTGATGACAGCACGCGGGGTCTGAGATTCACGATGCTTTTCTCTGGCCAGTGTTAACGTTATCTTGGATACGTCTTTCACTTGTTAACGACCTTGAGCCGGATCTCACCGGGTACGCTCTATCAATATCCGTCTTCTGGTGCATTTACACCGACCGTTTTCCCAATAACTCTGTTCCAATTCATCCACGCGGCACCCCGTCCCATACCCCTAGATCGCGCCTTCTCGTACTGTGCTTCAATGGAGTGTCCCTGGCAAATTTGAGCTCATTTTCTGCCGTGAATTCACCATAGCAAACGGATACTATCGACTCACGGTGCTGCACCACGCAGGGCGGATTCGACGCGGGGTGACGTTTGGGAGATTGCTTCTGCTGCGCACATCCTCTCAAATTCTCCGAGGGGCTCTCCAATAGTGCGCTGCGGTTTTGTGCTCTCGATGCACTCGCCATTTATATTGATTTGAGGTTCAAATAGAAAGTGTTTGCATCTTTAACATTGTGCTGTTGATTGCGTTTTGGTGATCATCCTGCATCGGCCCTGTTCGATGTGTGGTACTCAATTCGCTTTTCTTCGTGGTCGCGTGCGTGCACTGCTCACGGGTATCAAATGTACGTTTCGTGCAATCATTTACCGTTATTTTGAATTTATTGTTCGTTCATTCTTTCGCCAGGTACAGGAATTGGGCTCCCGCCGTCGCTACATTAAATAACTACTACTATTTGAAGATGCACTTCCCGAGGCCAGCTCAAAATTTCATCCGAACCAGCGCCAGTTTGCTCTCGGTGTCCGTCAGGTAAGTGGAGATCATCATACCTACAATCTGAGCCTTCGTCTTCTTACTGCAGTCGTATTTAACGTAGACCACACCCTTTCCATCAGCTTCTTTTTCCTGGACAGCGAGACAGGCAGTTAGGGAGGGCTCCCCGTTATCGGTGCGCGGTGGAATCTTTGCAATGAAATTATCGTCAGTTGGTGATCGTCTGGGTACTACAAACCGCCTTACATTTCCGATGACATGGACATAGGTTTCGTCTGCGGGGGTCTGATAGTAGATCGGCCTGATGTTCCCCGGTGTCCAGAATTTGGGCTGTCTCTCGACCGTGCTCCCACTTCCACAAAGCATTTGGTGAAAGTAGCCTGTGGATGGCAGCTCCATCGGCGATGGACTCTGCCTGGTCAAGAACGAACGGTATGCCCATTCTGTCGATCGTTTGTGATTCACAGTGGCTGCTGACGTCAAAGGAGATTTCCCGCGGCGGATTCCCGGGTTCCAATGACAGCGGCAGACACAAAAGTGGTTCAGCGTCGCGAACCATAATTGAAAGCTTCTGCCCTTCTTGGTGGCCTATGTGCAGCAATTCGTCCAGCTTTCCGACGATGCACATCGTGGGGATAGTTTGTTTGTATGGCGAGAGGTAAGAAATTAATTGCCTTTATAAATCGGTTGACGCCCACAGACATATGTGGCCGCACTGTAAGATCTAAGGGTGAAGATAACATTTCCTTGTTATCCTTGCTATATTTTCAGGTCGTGGCCGAGGTATAGGCTCTCGTTAGACATTTCAGTCCAATTTGGTTTACGCAAATTCGACAGTTGGGTTGGACAACGCAGTTCATTCATAACTCTAGGACCCAGGCTACGCGTAGAGCATAAAAACACGAATTTAGGAGGTCTCCCTGGGCCTGGGGGGAATTTTTAACAAGCTCTGAGAATGCCAGGCCGCTTACACTAGACAAACATCTGTGTGCCTGAACGAAAGTAAGTTAAATGAGTGGATAATGACTACGGACTAAAGAAATCAGTAAGACTCTGCAGACCCGCCCCCGTCACATTCCCTCCGCCCGGGATATAGATCCGACCCGCAATAGACGCGGCATTGGTCCCATGTCTCGGGTGCGGCATCGGCGGAAGCACCTCCCAACGGTCCTCCCCCACGCAATACACCTCCACATTATCATACACACCGTTGGGCACCAAGTTCACGTCCCCCTCGCCCCCAAACGTATAGATCCGATCGCCGATAACAGCGGTGCTCAGCCCACCCCGTGCAGTCGGCATGCGTGCCTTCTCGACCCATCCTCGCCCAACCGCGTTCAGATCCAGCGTGAAGACCGTGTCCCGGACATTCGGTACGCCGTTCACCCGCCCACCAACAACGAAGAACGTGTCACCGATAACCGCCCCGCCGACGTGGTCGCGCGCCTCAGGCAGTGACGGTAACACGCTCCACCGGTGCGTAAGCGTGTTGAAGGCGCTGACCGCGGCCGAGGAGGGCTGCGCGCCGGTGATCAGATTGAGTTCGAGCAGTCCGCCCGCGAGGTAAACTGTGTGCCCGTGCACGCCCACCGCGGCCGCACCGCGCGCGGTCCCCGCGGGCATATCCGGCAGCGCAGCCCACTTGTCCGCCGCGGGGTTGTACACGTAGGACTGTGGGATCGCCACCCAGTCAGTCGTGCCGTCGAGCCCACCAAGAAGATATAGTTTGCCGTCGACCGCGGCGACGTTGCCGTGGTTCACCGTATGCGGGAGGGGCGCGACGTCGTGCCACATGTTGGTTTTCGGCGTGTAGACTTGAGTCCAGTTTACTGTCGGGAAGCTAAAGGGCGCGTCCGGCGGGGGGCTGGAAATGCCGCCGATGATGTACATGGCAGAGTCGAGGGCGACGACGCTCTGCTCCTGGCGTGGGCCATGAAGGGTGGGGGCGACGTCGGTCCAGGTGCCGGTGCGAAGGTGGGCCTCGCGGGGCGATGGCGAGGCAAGGAGGAGGGGAAGCACCGCTAGTGCGAGTGCGAGGTGTGGTACGAATTTCATGTTTTCTGATTGAATAAAGTAGGAGGAATGTGGGACTTGGGAGCTCCGAGGAATCGATCGTTCTTATATCAGCTAAAATCCCATGCCACGGGACATCAAGATACACGTCCTCCTTGTTGAATAGTCATTTCGAGCAACTAAGTTGCCCGTTTCTCCGCACACGGGGATATCAAGATCCGTAACGTGACCTGGCCCGAGACGCGTCGCATCAAGCTAGACCAAACATCGCGTTGGTAAACCCATCATCTACGAAAACACCCTCTACCCCACGCCCAATTGCCCCCACTGCGCCACACCCGAGGCCGTCAATCACTTCCTGTTCTCCTGCCCTGCATACCAGAGACACCGCCTACGCCTCATTTACCGCCTCGGCACTGCCCGTCTTACCCTTCGCAAACTCCTCTCCGCCAAATCACACCCCAAGCCCGTACTCGAGTATTTCCTCGACACCGGTCGCCTCCCTCGCTACCTGAAACGACACGTATAATTCTTTATCTTTATCTTACTCTTCTCATACTTAGACTCATCAGAATTTGTTATATCATCCGCGCATAACTCATTACAGCTCTATTCATATCTATGCGGAAAATGTAATTTTTTTTCGGCTCAAGCCGATTATGGTCAATTGCGTGGCCCTCGGCGCGGTGGATACGGAGCTGTAGGACACTCTGCTGGCGGAGCAGAAGCAAGGCATGAAGAGAGTTTGAGAAGAACATGCCGACGGGGAGGACGAGCCGGGTGGAGGATGTGGCAGAAGCGTTTCTGTATCTTCTCAAGGATGCGAATGTTACGGGAAGTGTGATTGGGCTTTGTTCGTTTGAGGGAGGAGGTAGTTGTAGATTTTCATATGTCTACATCTTGCGTTAATTCTTGCTTCAAAAAAAAGACTTCCCATTGACGCACGGTGCGGGCCCGATTCGAACAGGTAGTTTCTGTGGAATGATTGAGTGCTTCCTAATGGAGTGCAGACGCGGACCATCCACCAGAGCCATATCAGGATGAATTGGTATCAATACACATTCTGTACTTGGGGTATAAAGAATGAACTTGTACCGGCAAAAACCTCGTTACGCCCCAAGGCTCCGGCCTGATTCAAACAGGCAGCTTCTGCATTGACATCTAATAGGAGAACCTGACATTCATATGAGGTGCAGACGCGGACCACCCGCCACGGAGCCAGACCAGTGTGAATTCTAGTATACATGCTGTACGTACTTGCGGTGTTGGGTTTGAAAAATTAATCTCTGCCATGCCGTCAAAAAGGGGCTTTCCGGCATCTAAGGCTCCGGCCTGATTCGAACCGGCAGGTTCTGCAAAATTCTCTGGAACCTTTTATGAAGTGCAGACGTGGACCACCCGCCACGGAGACATATCAGGGTGAATTAGCACCACTACATATGCTGTACTTGGTGTTGGGTAAAAAAATAAAGTTTCGCCATGGCCGTCAAAAAGTTCATTCTCAACTTCCTCAATGGCTCCGGCCTGATTCGAACAGACACCTTCTACAACTTTGTATGCTGAAACAATTTAAGCAATGAGTGCAGACGCGGTCCATCCGCCACGGAGTCATATCATAGATAATTTGCTCCCTATTGAAGTACCTTCGAAGCTCGTAGGCAGTGTGCCCAAAAAATCCGCGTGCTAAAAAATGCCTTTCTTAAATCTCGGCCAAGGCTCCGGCCTGATTCGAACAGGCAGCTTCTGCAAACTCCTCTTTACCGTTTAAGAACTGCAGACGCGGTCCACCCGCCACGGAGCCATATTATAAATGACTTACCATCTACCGAAGTATCTGCGAAGTTGGTTGGGAGTGTGCTTAAAAATGCACACAATCCTCTCAAGGCTCCGGCCTGATTCGAACAGGCGTCTTCTGCGAAATACCTGACAAAACCAAATTGAGTGCAGACGCGGTCCATCCGCCACGGAGCCATACCACGAATAACTTGCTCCCTATTGAAGCACCTTCGAAACTGGCATTGTGCCAAAAGAAATTTCCGACCAGCGACCCTGCTAAAAGACACGTTTCTGCAACGACTCCGACCTGATTCGAACAGGCAGCTTCTGCATTACAATCTACAAACAACCACGAAATGAGTGCAGACGCGGACCACCCGCCACGGAACCATATCAGGGTGAATTAGCCCCAGCACACATGCTGCAATGTGCTGGTGGGTACCAAAAATAAGTTTGTACCATGCCCTCAAAAAGGTCATTATGTGGCGTGTAAGGCTCCGGCCTGATTCGAACAGGCATCTTCTGCGAAATACCCTATAATGCACACGAATGAAGTGCAGCCGCGGACCACCCGCCACGGAGCCATATCAGGGTCAATCGCGCCCCCACACATGCTGTAATTGCGGCGCTGGGTACGAAATAAAAGCATGTTGCAGGTGGCCAGAAGAAAAAAACAACGAATCCTAGACCATAAGGCTCCGGCCTGATTCGAACAGGCAGCGTCTGCATCGAAATCCATAAAGAATTAGCAATTATGAGTTGCAGTCGCGGACCACCCGCCGCGGAGCCATAACACGGATGCTTTGCCCTTTGCGATAGTACCTTCGAAGCTCGTGGGCAGTGTGCCCAAAGAATCCGCCTGCTAAGGAGTGCCTTTCTTAAATGAAACTACGGCTCCGACCTGATTCGAACAGACAAATTCTGTAAACTCCTCCTTATCATTTAAGAACTGCAGACGCGGACCACCCGCCACGGAGCCATATCAGGGTGAATCGGTATCACTACACATGCTGTACTTGCGGTCTTGGGTGTAAAAAATTAATCTCTGCCATGACCTCAAAAAGGCCATTATGTGGCATGTAAGGCTCCAGCCTGATTCGAACTGGCATCTTCTGCGAAATATTCTGACGTACCCGAAATGAGTGCAGATGCTGACCATCCTCCACGGAGCCATATCAGGGTGAATCGGCATCACTACACATGCTGTACTCGGGGTATCGAAAATAAATCTGTAGCAGGCAAAAAAAAACGTTTCCGACACACGTCCAAAGGCTCCGGCCTGATTCGAACAGGCAGCATCTGTGAAATTTCCTAATCCACACTAATAAAGTGCAGATGCGGACCACCCGCCACGGAGCCATATCAGGGTGAATCGGTATCAGTACATATGCTGGACCTGCGCTGGTGGTATAAAAAATAAATTTGTACCATGTCGTTAAAAAGATTTTTCGATTCTCTCAACGGCTCCGGTCTGATTCGAACAGAGACCTTCTGCAACATCTTGCGTTGAGGGAACTTACTTAATGAGTGCAGACGCGGTCCACCCGCCACGGAGCCATACCACGGATGCTTTGCCCTTTGCGAAAGTACCTTCGAAGCTCGTGGCAGTGTGGCCAAAAAAACGCCCGCTGAAAAATGCCTTTCTTAAATGAAGCTACGGCTCCGACCTGATTCGAACAGGCAGCTTCTGCAAAATGTCCATCTTGGCATACTAACCGCGAGCTTCCGCGCAGATTCGGGTCCGAGTCCGAGGCCAGTCGAGATTTCTTCAATATCTGCCTAACACAATCTGCAGGTTTGGTCCGCTCAATTTCTCGTCCATTCGGCTCGAATGTACTCAATGCCCGACAATACACGGATGGGAGTGTGTTAAGAAAACTCATAACGGTTCAATGAAAAGGTGCTGAATTCGTAATAACCAATAGCTACAGTGTCGACTTTCCGTTCCGCTGCTTTCAATGTATTTCTACACATATTTCTACACTGGCATCTCGTCCTTCAAGTTGTAGCACTGAGGCTTTCCAGTAGTATATAGTGCCCAGGGTAAAGTCGCCTAGCACTGTCTAGTGCTGTATAGTGATCGGTAACATACCACCTAGAACTGTCCAGTGCTATAGGTGCTATGAGATACTATAGTACTAGGGCTCCGCTATGGCTCGGCTACGGTTTTCCAGATGCCTACTACGAACTGCAGACGCGGAGCATCCGCTACGGAGCCTCATAATAGTGGATCCGTGCCGTCAGCATCATACTAAACCTAAGTAACAATCCCCGGGCCCTGGCACGAATGTTCCGTGCGAAGCTAGCAGAATAGTTGCAGAATAGGATAAAGGACACATACTTGTGCCACTCACGTGCAAGAACGTGTGCTATTACGAATACAAAATCCAACTTCTGCATCTCATCTCAAATAAAGAGAGAAAAAGAGACCACGTCAATCAGCCAACACTCACTGCCCGCCAAGGCGCGCCCATCAGGCACATCGCGCTCCACACGGTGAGCGCGGCAAAGTACGCGCCGAGTGGGCCCTCCGCGACGCTCTGGCTGTCGAAGTCGAAGAACGCGAGACTTTAGAGGGACGCGAAGGCCTCTGCGATTTCCTGGATGGATTTTTTGGGCCGGAATGAGCGCATAAGGACTTGGCGGAAAAGAAGGACGTACCGGTGTGAGCCGGTGGCTGGGGTCGATGAACGGGCCGACAGTGAGCGTGACAGTGTTGGGCAGGGATTGCGCGAGCGGCGCGACACGGATATCTGCGGGCCGTCCCACAATAGAGTGAACGTGAACGGCGTGTTTGGCGTCATCGCGTCCGCGAGGACGGCGAAGAGCGCGGGCAGGTCCGTGAGCGGCGGCGCGTCCCAGAGCTCGACGCGCTCGAGCGTGCGTGTGGTGGTACACTATCAGAGCCCGCGCGTACACGCTGCACCCGCGGAAGACGCTCAGGCGCGGGAAGTGGAGGACGGCACGTCGAGCGCCTGCCAGGGGCGGATGAGGTCTAGGTGCGTGAGCTCGGTGTGGCGGTTGAGGAAGGATGAGAGGAGGGGCGAGCAGAGGCCTGTGTGGGGCGCGGAGAATGTGCGCAGGCTGGGGAGCGCGAGGGTAGCGAAGAGGACGAGGTAGCGGGAGCTCCAGTCTGGGAGGTGCTCGAGGTTGCGCAGAGTGTGGAGGACAGATTCGAGGGGGAATATCATGTCTACTGGGAGGTAGGCCCAGCTGAAATGTACTTGGGGTGTGGGGCCGCGGCGGTGCCCGGCAGGAACTTCGTACTTATGAGTTTTTTATGTAGTATGTTTGCTGTTCTAAATAATCACTTCTTGAGTGCCCCAGTAACAAGGCCTGTTGTTTTCAGTGTAAGAGTCCAGCAGGCTCGCCATTCCAATGGCCCTCTCTTCATCTGAGATTATTCGCTCCATGACAGGGGTGGGAAGAATGAACAAGGGGAGATGAAGATAGTTACGTTCAGGGCCAAATTATATTAAATTAGCCATTACAATATTTTGGAATACCCACCCTCACCATCCGATGTGCATGGATAATTTGAAGTTTAATTGTACAGTGTGTGATGATAAAGCTTCAATAATGCATATAGCACCATAGTACTAAGGCATGTCACGAGTGCGGGTCACCCGCGAGTTATTACGGGTTGACCCGTGACAATACTCATGGGAAACCTGACCCGCGGGTCACGGGTACTCGTTGCCACGGGTCATCACGGATCCGGGTAGTAATTTTGTGAGAAAGAGGTATGCTCGTGAGTTTCAAAGTGCTTTTATTCCTGTACTTTAGGCTGAAAAATGGCAAAATAGTAGCAATACTCGTGAGTTGATCCGTGAGAAACCCGTGACCCGCGGGTCAGGTACCCGTGAAGGCGGGTTTCTCACGGATCCGAGTATGGCCTTGGAAGACGCGAGTACCCGTGGTCACGGATCCAGGTCACCCGCGAGTTAACTCGTGACATGCCTTACGTGACCATACACAGACACTTTCTCAGATATGTAGAACTGACTGTATGCCGACAGCCCCGTTAGCAAGAATCCATCTGCATTTAGGATGGACAAAATTGTTGAAATGGGTTTCGCACTCATTGCATTTAAGATGTGCCACAGGAAAGATGGGGACATGTACATGTGAAAGCTCGTGCTCAGGACGTCAATGCTGTTGGATCCAAGTTTGACGAAGGTGAGTGAGCGAATTAAGCGGTGCTATTTATACTTACCATGTGCAGAAGCTCACATTGCAAATTCCACAAGTGCAGTGGGGACATTGAATGACAATAAACATAAAGTGTCGGCGCCCAATGCGACACCTTTGCAGTACAGAGTGAAGGAGGATGTCAGCAATGATGAGCATTTCGAAGGGGCACAGGAGCGATTCCACTGTCTGAGGTTGGACACCAGGGTGGACGAACTAGATGAAGCCATGAACGAGATGTACATAGTTTAATGCCCTCATTATCTACTTGGCTACGATATGAAGAAGCTGGGTTATTTATTTACAGAATATGTAAAGAGAACAAGAACAAAAAAATAACAGTCCATGTTGAGTCAGCAGGAGTCAGGCCAATAAATTATAAGCTTACACTGCACTACAAAGTGAGCATCCCTTTCTTAATCATCTATGGCTAAATTCGTGAAAACGCGAAAGTTTTGCGCGCTGTCACGTGTAGTTTTGATTGTGATGCCGACCAATGCCGGAACTGCCGGGATAGAATTAGGTCGAATATTGGTCACATATTAGATTCCAGGTGTTTAAAAGAGCTTTAAATGAGCATTTCACATTCTCCACATGAAGGTTGCTCCCAAAAACAAAGTTTAAACACCTCCGAACACCTCGGCAGCATTCGGCATAATGCGCGTGACAGCGCACAAAACTTGCGCGTTTTGAAACCGTTTTCACAAATTTAAGCAAACAGCTGTACCATGTGATATGAGGAACCATAGAGTTGGCTAAAAATAACAATAACAATAACAGATATACGAAGAACGCAATGAATATGAGTGATAAGGAGAAAGGAGAAATAAAGGATATTAAAAAAATGCAGATGTGGGGAGTCGAACAGGCAACCTCCAGATTTCGTTGGGTACCGCCACTAATATATCACAAAATTTGTAGTGAAAGTTTTTAAAAAGGCTTCAACACAGCCACTATTTTACCAGGCACGAAAAATGGAACAAGGATTGAGAGAGGTCGCGAAATCCTCATATCGGTTTGTTAAATGGACGATCACTTATTACATAAGTACTCGTAATATATGCACAAGGACAGCTCTGCTCACCCGCCGTGGGCCGATATCACGATCTTTAAACTGCGTGCATAGTAGTGCCGCTCAGGCTTGTTGAGCAGCGTTCCAAGGCACCCCAGCGACGCCTTCGCTGATCGGACAAGTATAACTCGGCCGCGTATAGGCGCGGTATGTCATCCTCCTCTGCCAGGTCGCTTATGCGGTACGTCTTTATACAGGGTCATCGGGTCGTCTGCACCTCCTGCAGCCTCGGTAACATATAAATTCCGCTGGATGGAACATTTGGAGCACCCACGCCGAACACCGTAGACGCTGTCTCTGGCCTTCGCAATTTGGCCCTGAAAGTTGAAGCTCTGTTGTGAAAATTATGATAGCTGCAAAGATCTGTCCTCAGGCTCATACTGTAAAGTCCGCGGAAGGAACAAAAGCAGCCACCTTCCGGTCAGCAGTACTTTATTCGGTTGAGTTAAAAATAAACTCTACTGGACTGAAACAGTAAGAGCCATTCGGTTCGGGCAACTTTGACTGAATCGAACGTGTTTCAACCGAAATGAAATCGGTCATTGCGACGACTAAAATGAATTCGGCGCAAGAGCCTACCGGTTCAGATTCGGGGCTCTTGACGCCCTCGGTTCATTGGAATGGAGTCGGTCATTGCGGCTACGAGCTATTCACTTACTCATCCTCATCTTAGTAATCCAAGTAAAAACGAAGGGCACTGGATTTCCACCCCCTCCTCACGTTCTACTCCGAAAATGACATTGCCCATCTTCTCATTCTCTACGACCGCCGACGAGGTCGCCACCGCATTCGCCTCCGAAATCAGAGGCAAGAACGGTAAATTTTTCAACGTGCAAGTGTCCGTGGACAATATTTCTCACCATTTAACAGTCTTGATCACCGGGACCTCCCTCAACGGAATCGGTTATGAAGCAGCCCGCGTTATTGCGAAATACGCTAACCTTATTGTCATCACCGGGTACAATTCAGAGAGGTATTCGATTTTATCTCTTAGTTCTTCTATTGTAATAAACATTTCCCGTAGATTGAGGCTCTCAGAGGAAGCCATTAAGAAGGATGTGCCATCGGCCAACATCCGCCCGCTCACTCTCGATCTGTCTTCTCTTGCGGCGATTCGTAAAGCCGCAGCGGAGGTCAACGCATACTCAGAGTCGCTCCATGTACGTGCCCGCTGTTAATTTAAATCGCAGTGTTCCGAGACAGCCACCAGGTCCTTGTTCACAATGCAGCCGCAGCCGCCGGCCACTTCAAACTCACCGTGGACAATCTCGAGATGCAGATGGCAACGGACCACATCGGCCCGTTCCTCCTCACGAAACTCCTCGCACCGAAGCTGGTCGCCGCTGGGACAGCGAGCTACATCCCGCGCGTGGTTTTCGTCTCCAGCATCTTCCATGCCTTGGGCTCCGGGGTCGACTTTAGCACAGTTGGGCACCCCGACGAGGGGAAGTATGCCATGGGCGATGCGTACTCACAGGCAAAGTGCGCGAACATCCTCACTGCCATCGAGCTGTCCAAGCGCTCCAAAGGGAAGATAAACGCATATAGCCTTCACCCTGGAGGTACGTCTTACGCGTCGTACATACCGCAACTGAACTTCTATTTTACAGCCATCTACACGAATATAGTCCAAAAGCAGGAGTCGATCGAGTATCTCCAATCAATTGGTGCGTGGGTTTTTCGAAATCAGTATACTTATCTCAGGATACTTATTTGTTCACAGGTGTTCTCGGACCGGACGGCCTGCCCAACACGGAGACCTTTGCGTGGAAGACAATTCCGCAGGGAGCGGCTACGTGCGACCCAATCGATTCTGCGTTCAAATATTCATCCTTACCCTCCTCCTAGCACTGTAGCCGCAGCGTTTGATACCAGGTTCGACGGTCAGTGATACAGCATCTTCAAATTTCTGGCTTCTAGATAGTGATACTTATATGGCAGATAAACCCGGCACATACCTGTCCGACTCGTCCGATGCAAACGGGGACGTCGCGCCACACTGCTCCGATCCTGTCAGTTCCAGGTCGCGTTCTTGTTTCGTCAAAGCATGCTGAAGGATTATTGATTCTAGGTGAACGCCGAAAAGCTATGGAGCTTGACCGAGGAGATTATAGGGGAATCGTTCACGTTTTGAAAACACAGATAGGAAGTTGCCCTCATTTGAACATTCTCCTTCAATCCCATCGCATGTTTCAGGTCACAGGTTCAAATTTGCTATATATGTACATTAGGGTCATTCACAGTTCCCTTTTTCTGGCTCTTTTTCTGCTCCTTTTTTGCTCCCTTTTGCTTGCTCCTGGTTGTTTTAAATTTTGTAATACTTCAGAGATGTTATCTAACCGCACCCTACAGTCTCTTGTACATTAGGATGTACTTACGAGGGTCTCGTGGGTGATTGCAATGTCCAATCTATGTATTATGGAAAAAAGGAACGCAAAAAGGGAGCCGCAGACCAGGGTGTTCACAGTTCCCTTTTTTCAGCCCTTTTTTGCTCCCTTTTTTCTTGGTTTTCATTCAGTTTTGCACCTGGAAAGTTGATTTTTTCCCTTTTCAACCCTTTTACATGCCTAAATTGAAAAGGGGAAAAAAACCGGGATAAAAACGGTGGGAATACAAAAAAGGGAGAAAAAAAGGAACGAAAAAGGGTTGAAAAAAGGGAATTGTGAACGACCCTATTGTTTCAGTGCCCGACGACTATAAGGCTCAGCTCAGTATTTATATCCCAGGACTATAGCAGAGCTTTCCTGCTACCTTTAAGTACAGGTTATTATGTATGTCCCAATCAAAGTGACTTTTGGCGGACCACCACATTTTCGTCATTTGTTTTCACGTCAGCGGTTTTTCTCCCTGCCAAGTGCCGACTCAGATCACACAATCCTGCTTACTGTCTCAGGCTCTTTCGTTTATTCTCCAGTGAACAGAAATTCGGCAGTGGATTTTAAAGAGCCGATTCAATTAAATACTGCGCTTATTGTCCTCTTCGGACCAGACCTCATTTCCATGAGCTGTTCGACGCGAGAAGGATTTGTCAAATGCAGACGCCGACGCACGTACAATATTTTCGGTAGTCCGTGCAAACAAATCCGTGCACACCGGTGAAATATACTTGCGTTGAGTACTGTATCCCGACCGAATTGAGTAAGAAAAGGGGGAAACGATTAAGTTTTCGTTGAGATATTCGAGCCAGTGACTTTAAGAGAAAGGCGAAAATTTCAACCAGCGATATTGAGGCAGACTCGGCTGATGCCGGCCGGTCTCGCGGTTATCCCCGCAAGGGTCTTTGTCATCGGTGGCCCGGGCTCGGTGGCTGCTCTTGCAATGCCACCGCCATGCCACCTTGCTCTCTCGCTTCTCTTTCATGGCTTTTCACCGTCGCAAGCCCTCCATCTTGGACTCCGTACCTGCAGAAATCCTGCGGGAGATCGTCTCATCTGTGGATGCCTCCAAAGACAAGGCTGCTGTTGCGAGGACCTCGAAGTTGCTTAACGCGATTGCCATCCCTGTTCTCTATCGCCACATCTCTTTGGACAGGGTGGTTAAAGCCTTAGGATGCCTGGGCACGCTGCTCAACAAGCCTGAGCGGCAGGACTATGTACGGAGTTTCAAGATCGTGATATCGACCCACGGCGGGTGAGCAGAGCTATCCTTGTGCATATATACATTTCAGCTGAGTCTTTGAAGGGCCTACCTCCCAGTGGACATGATATTCCCACTCGAATCTGTCCTCCGCACCCTGCGCAACCTCGAGCACCTGCACCTCCGCATCCCAGACTGGAGCCCCCGCTACCTCATCATCTTCGCCACCCTCGCGCTCCCCAACCTGCGCACATTCTCCTCACCCCACACGGGCCTCTTTCCGCCCATCCTCTCGTCCTTTCTTAACCGCCACACTGCGCTCACGCACCTCGACCTCATCCGCCCCTGGCAGGCGGTCGACGTACAGCGCGTCCCGCTCCTCCACTTCCCGCGCCTGCGCGTCTTCCGCGGGTGCAGCGTATACGCGCGCGCTCTGATAGTGTACCACCGCATACTCGAGCGCGTCGAGCTCTGGGACGCGCCGCCGCTGACGGACCTGCCCGCGCTCTTTGCCGTCCTCGCGGACGCGACGAAGCCAAACACGCCGTTCACGTTCACCCTGCTATGGGACGGCCCGCAGATCTCTGTATTCGCGCCCCTAGCGCAATTCCTCCCCAACACCGTGGCGCTCACCATCGGCCCGTTCATCGACCCCAGCCACCCGCTCACACCGGTACGTTTAATTCCGTCCTTCTTTTCCGCCAAGTCCTTTGCGCTCATCTCGGTGTAGAAATCCATCCAGGAGATCGCCGAGGCGTTCGCGTCCCTTCACGGTCTTACATTCTTTGACTTTGACAGCCACAGCGTCGCGGAGGGCACCACCATGCAGCACCAAGGCTACGGACTCGGCGCGGATTTTGCGGCGCTCACCGTGTGGAGCGCGATGTGCCCGACGCTCGTTGACAGCCGTCTCCACGGCCGGAGCTGGGCGCGCCTCGGCGGGAAATGGGTGTTGGCTGATTGATGTAGTCTCTTTTTCTCTTTTTATTTGAAATGAGGTGCAGAAGTAGATTTGTATTCATAATAGCACGCGTTCTGGGGCGTGAGTGGCATGTACAAGTATGTACTGTATCCTTTATCCTTTATCCTATTCTGCTACACACGGAACATTCGTCTTTGCCACTGCCAGGGCCCGGGGGATTGTTACTTAGGTTTGGCAAGATGCTGGCGGTACCAATCCACTATAATAAGGCTCCGTAGCGGATGGTCCGCGTCTGCATCTCGTGTATGTGTACAATAATGGAGATCAATATTGTGCAGAAGACGCCTGTTCGAATCAGGCCGGAGCCTTACGCGCCAGAGAAGGCCTTTTTGAGGGCATTATACAAACTTATTTTTGGTACCCAACACCGCAAGTACAGCATGTGTGGGGGCGATTGACCCTGCTATGGCTCCGTGGCGGGTGAGTCTGCTTCTGCGACAACTTATTTTTCGATGATTGCAATGCAGAAGCTGCCTGTTCGAATCGGGTCGTAGCCATTGAGGAAGTTGAGAATGAACGTTTTGAGGGCATGGGGCAAATGTATTTTTTATACCTAACACGTCGCAAGTACAGCATGTATACTGGTACCAATTAACTCTGATGTGGCTCCATGGCGGGTGGTCCACATCTGCACTTCATAAAAGGTGGTCAAGAGGATGTCAACGCTGTTCGAATCAGGCCGGAGCCATTGAAGAAGTTGAGAATGAACTTTTTGAGGGTGAATTAGTATTCCGGGCTTGTCAAGTGACGCTTCTCGGCACATCACGGAGTGATGGGTATCAACATCTTGCCGAGATTGGCCGGTTGGGTTCGGGCTAGCTAGTTAGTGGTTTGGGTTAGCTGGTTAGGGCTAGAGGTTAGTGGTTAGAGGTTAGTGGCTAGTGGTTAGTGGTTAGTGTTAGAGTAAGGTATCTATATGAAAAAACAGGCAGAGACTTGAGAGGAGGGAGGTGGAGCAAAACTCTCGCAACAATGGATTGGTCCTTTCGAGGTTATTCAAGAAATCAATCAAAAGGTCTTCAGGCTAAGGATGAGCAAGAAGTACCCGGGTTTGCCAATTTTCAATGTCGAACACTTTAAAAAGTATGTGGAATCCCCTGAGGAATTTGTGGCGCAAACAACTCTACTGTACCAGAAACTCAAACGAAAAAATCGGAGGCACCCGAATACGTTGTGGAAAAGATTCTGGCGCACAAGTTCGACAAGAAGGGACGCACCATTAAATACCTCACGCGATGGGAGGGGTACGGCCCGCAATTCGATACGTGTGAACCTCGGTCTCATTTAAAGAACGCGCCCAGAATCCTGGAGCAATACCGGAAAGACCACGGATTATGAGCTTGAGAACCGGCGGAGAACGAGTGGGAAAGGCAATCTATATCTATCATGGCAACTCAGACAGGACACTCACGCGGCGACTCTCGAACAAAAAGAGAGCTAAAAAGGGGGAAATTCTCTCACACGTACGGCTTCGCAAGGGGCCGAGAAGGACGCGAGCAGTTCGAACAGGCAGCTTCTACGAAATTTCTTCAAACAATACACAATGAGTGCAGACACGGTTCACCCGCCACGGAGCCATATCAGGGTGAATCGGCACCACTACACATACTGTACTTAAGCCGGTCGGCACCAAAAGTAAACTTGTAATGAACTTTCACGAATTCCCATCAAAGTTACAAAGTTTCGCAAAACTAAGCGAAGTAACGAAGTGACGAAAATGGCGCGGACTCACCCTCCCACGTCTTCTACTCTGATTGACTTTGTCTACTCAGGTTCTATTAACGTTCGGGGTGTCAGGTTTTTATGTTGTCGCCGGTCTTGCCATCTCTGGGATCTCTTGTGTTCATCTTGTCTCCCGCGTTGATTGATTGTGTCTACTCAGGTTCTATTAATGTTCAGGGTCTCGGTTTTTGAACTCTTGCGTTTATATTATCTCCCGCGGAGTCTTCTACTCTGATTGATTTTGTCTACACAGCTTCTATCAATTTTCGGGGTCTCGGTTTTTGAACCCACGTGTTCATCTTGTCTCCCGCGTCTTTTCTGGTCGATCTTTACCTATCTTTACCGTATAGACAGCCCTTCCTCACCATCATCACGAGACTAAGTAGCCATTCTCGGTACATTTATCCCCTCGCTGCGGGAATTTTCCTACTATCACGAAACGTTTCACAATGCGCCGGATCGAAATCCCTCACCTGACCCTTGGCGATGTTGCGCTCATCTCGGCCATTGTTGCGCCCCAATCAAATTTTTGATTACAGCTCTGTTCTTTGAAGTGGTTTTGGATATCCGCCAGATCTTCAGGTTCTTTTATTCTAGCTTTCCTGTGAGAATTGTCGACATTGGCACCTTGCATTTTTAAAACTATCAAAGATGGGTAGGTTGAACGTTTCTGGTAACACGCTGCATTCAGCAGCCAAATAGCCAGACTAACGCCTCGCTGAACATAGCCAGAGCTACGACTAGCCGGCGTAGTCAGGTATGGCTAGTATATTTAGACACAGCTCGCATATCTTACGTGTGGCGAAGGCGGGTGGAAGCAGCAGTGAGTAGGTTGAATGTTTCTGGTAACACACTGCATTCAGCAGCCGAATAACCAGACTAACGCCTCGCTGAACATAGCCAGAGCTACGGCTAGCCGGCATAGTCAGGTATGGCTAGTATATTTAGACACAGCTCGCATATCTTACGTGTGGCGAAGGCGGGTGGAAGCAGTAGTGGATAGGTTGAACGTTTCTGGTAACACGCTGCATTCAGCAGCCGAATAGCCAGACTAACGCCTTGCTGAACATAGCCAGAGCTACGGCGAGCCGGCATAGTCAGGTATGGCTAGTATATTTAGACACAGCTCGCATATCTTACGTGTGGCGAAGGCGGGTGGAAGCAGTAGTGGGTAGGTTGAACGTTTCTGGTAACACGCTCAGCAACCGAATAACCAGACTAACGCCTCGCTGAACATGGCCAGAGCTACGGCTAGCCGGCATAGTCAGGTATGGCTAGTATATTTAGACACAGCTCGACATATCTTACGTGTGGCGAAGGCGGGTGGAAGCAGTAGTGGCTAGGTTGAACGTTTCTGGTAACAACATAGACTAAACCCACTCCCTCGGACGGCAAGGTGGTTCCTGCCAGCGGGCATCAGAATTAATTGGTGAAATATCATCTCTGTTGGAGCAAAACTTAAAAGAGACTCGTACACTCTGTCACGGTCTACTTAACCCCACAATGGAAATGTCTAAACCTTTGTCATTGACCGTCATTGCTCGACACAGTCTCGTCCCTCTGAACAGCCTCCTCGGGGCTTGGCTCATTGGACTTATAGTCTCTTCAGTGTAAGTCCAGTGATCTCTATCTGCAGTTCAATTTTGATCATTATTTCAAGCATTTTTGGGGTCACCTGTCTTCAGGCAAGCGGATACCGTCCCGTATAGCAGAAATAACTATTATTCACGCCAGAACCCAGGTTTATCTATACTACACAAAATACTGCTCTCGTGACAATGTGTCTCTCAAGCTCTTCGTGCGTTACTCTGCCAAAATACACGATTTCGAACTGAACCCCCTCTTGCACAGGTGGGATTTCTGTTGTATGTACTCACGTCGCCAATTTTCGGATGTTGCTTCCCATATCTGTAGGTTCTTGGACACCGTACATCTCGCCTTGCTTTCGATGTCATATTATCAAGCCTCCGTCACCAATTTCGGCGATTTTGTAGCCCTAGCGACAGTACCCTGGTGAGTTTACCTGTGTTATAGAAAAGAAACTTGCCTCTGAAACTCTACACAGGAGCCTTGTGGTATGCATGATCATGCACATTTTTATTACCAACCTTATCCAGAATACTTAGGTCCAAGTACTAGTTGGAGGCAGGTTTCACCGATTTCTAGTCACCCTCAGGCTCTTTCTAATCTTCTCTAGTTTTTTTGAGCACTCTGGTTCAGTTGTAAGCTCATTCTTACAGAACCACATTTCGGTCAAGCCGACATTCCTGGTAGCTTCTACGCCTTTCGGATTTGGGTCCTCTCAAACAAGTCCCTTTGGATTCCTTGTCTCATCGTAGGTGATAGATTCTACACCATCGTCACCTAAATAACTTCGACCGTCAGGGTGCTTGCGCGACTACGGAGTTGGGTAAGCTCGCCAACTACGCCTGCACCTTTCACCATTTAATGACTCTCCGGCATCTCATAGCACTTGCAAGTGGTGTGTAAACCCCTTTTGAATCGTGCGGATCGTAGCTGACGCCTTGCCTCGACTTCAGTTTATGTGAACAATACGTGGGTCAACCGATTTGTTAAAAGTTGCGCATGTACTGACCGTCTAATGAGATTCCGTATCGAGTCCTTCAGCGACGTAAAGACCGATATTGTGAGTTCATGGATAGTGATTCGGAAATAAAAGTTGATTTGAGTCCAGCCGTACTCTACTAGTGCTCTCGCGTTTGAGGTTGCCTGTGATGTCCTCATCGCGGGATCCATGACATATAATTTGGTGCGAAACAAAACAAGTTTCCAGAAGTATGGGCCCTTCCACCTTCGCTTGCACGACACTGACCTTAGCCGGATGATTTATAGGACAAGCAGAGCAATCAATACCCTCATTGCTTATACCATAAACACTGGTGCTCTTACCACGTAGGGCGGTACACTCTGACAAATTTCTCCATGTCTAATTTTCCTCACGCAAAGGTTGTTAGCAATTTGCAGCCTTGTTACAGTAAGACTATGTTTTGAACAACAGTGTCAATTCTTGATTTAGCGTGTCTCAGTGGATTACTTCGACCTTGACTTTAATCTATGCTCCGTACGCTGCTAGTGTCTTCTGTCATTATTGTCTAGACTGTTCAATTTTCTCTTAGGTTCTTCTTTATCCTTGTTCGGCGTAAGTATCCGACCACATCTTCTTGATTCCCACTCACAACTGCAACTTGTCCAGTCTATGGATGTAGTTTCATGTCCATGTCAGTCTTTCGATGGTCTTACCATGGTATCTCACTCACAGTCCCATAGTCTTAACTCCCGCGACTACGTCAGGGAAAAAATGTTTTTCAGCGATCATGCAATGGTCACCATCCCGTCGTATATTCCGAACGACTCGACTTTACAGCCAATCGCGAGTGAAACCAGCAAGGTTACTACAATCCCAGGAAACATGTTTGATGGAGCTTCGAAAGGAGGGTCGTGCTCGGATAGAGTGTGATAGAAATACATGGCTTTCCTGAATTCAATTTGACCATCTCCTGTCGAAAATATAATGTGAAGGTTTCAATCAACCGCAAATGTTGAAAAAAAAATTGATCCACCTTTT